CAAAATAAAAAATGAAAAGACCTGGGGATGTAGCTCAGTCATAGAATATCCTATGGTTCAATTCCTAGTACCAGGAGAAAAAAAAAAAGCGAGGTGGGGGGAGGCAGAGGGATGTTTGAAAAAGAAAAGGAGGCATTGTGAGGACTGAAGCAAGATGCTACACCATTGACTATGAAGATGGTAGAAAGGGCCATTTATAGGATACCATGTGATGTTTCAATACATGAATATGTTGTATAATGTTCAGGTCAGGGTAAACTTATCTGTTTCTTCAAACATTTACCCTTCATGGTAAAAACATTCAAAATTATTTCTTCTAGCTTTTATTTTTATTTTTAATATTCAGCACATCATAATTATCTGTAGTCATCCTGCTGTGCAACAGAACATCAGAACTTATCTCTCCTATTTAATGATAGCTTAATTCCCATTGTCCAACCTTTCCCCATCTTAAGTTAAACTTTACATATAGTCTGAGGTAAGGGTCCAAGTTTATTCTTTTGCTTGTGACTATCCAGCTGTCTCAACATCATTTCTAGAAGAGAATATTTTTTATTCTTTTTTGCATTGAATGATCTTGGCACTCTTGTTAGAAATCAGTTGACCATGGAAACATGATTTTATTCCTGGTCTCTCAATTCTGTTCCATTTATTTATATGTCTACACTTATGCTAATACCATACTGGCATGATTACTGTTGCTTTTTTTGTTTTGAAATTGGGAAGTGTGAAACTTTGTTTTTTTTTTTTCAAAATGGTTTTGACTATTCTTTCAATTGCTTATAAATTTTAGAATCAGGTTTTCAATTTGTTCCTTCCTTTTTTTTTTTTTTCTTTTCTTGCAGTATTGGGGATTAAGCCCAGAGCAAGTGCTCTACCACTGAACTACAGCCCTTTTTATTTTATTTTGAGACAGGGTCTCGGTAAATTTCCCTTACTGATCTTGAACTTGCAATCCTCCTGCTTCACCCTCCTGAGGAGCTGAGATGACAGGTGCATACCACTGTCCTTGCTTCCCCGAATGCTGAAGTATAACACCAGAGAAGCACACGGAGGCTAGTGGAGAGTGGAAAGTGGAAGGCTTTATTAAAGGACAGCAGAAAAGACTTCTCCCAGAGGAAGAAGGGGACCCGAAAGGCGGAATCCGTGAAAGGGGGAGTGTAATGCCAGATTCGTGGGACCCCAATAGATCTCCAGGAGCTGAATCCGATGCAATCACACAATAGTCTTTATTGCAAGCTGGAGCCTGGACTCACAACCATTTCCGATTCGGCAGTCCTGAGGAGTGAGTCCTGGTCCTTTGTTCAGTGAGATTTTATAGGTTTTTTTTTGGATACAACAACTCTTAACATTGATTAACACATTCACTGGCGGGAACAAGTTGGGTAGGGGTGAGTGGTTAGTACAAGAGGGGGGTTCCTTTGAAGTGATTGGTTTAAACCATGAGGGATATATGTGCTAAACTGCATGGTTTCCCAACATGTTATCAACCACCATAAACTACTGGGGGGGGGGGTTGTCTGGCATCCCAGGTATTTTCCCTGTCTCATGCTGATTGGTGGTTGCTAGGGGGTTGCTATGGGTCCTCACCTAGCCTAACTGAGTCAGGGACACCTGGCACCGAAGATCTCTCCTGTTACTTGCAGACAAACAACTCAACAGGGTGGGTATGTGCCTAGGAGTGCTCTCTTTTTCCAAGGACAAAGGTTACGCCCCCTTCCTTGGACAGGCTTTGCTCTGAGGTAGAGGCTGGTTTCTCAAAAATGGAGTCACATCAGTTTCTCTGGAGGTCTTCCCTTTTTTATAGCTAAGGTCTTCTTTTAGTCTTCCCACATTCCTGTCCTTTGTTTCCCTTTACCCTGCAGTGATAGAATGCAGATGGGAAGGCCAAAAGGTGAGAGATAGGTGGACTGAAGGAGTAATCTGGGCTGGAAGGGCCTGGGGTGGTTGATTAATACTTCATTTTTTCCTGGGAGCTGTTTCATTAACAGTTCCTTAGGAAGGGTTCTGGCCTTGGGGACATTAACATTTCAATTTCCCCAAGCTCTAGCTTCCTGGACTCCATTCTCATAATGGTCTCCATTTTCTTTATCATACTCGATATTAGACCCTATTTATCTAACTACATTAACTACCTACCTTTAAATCTGGCTTCACCACTGCCGCAGTCCGGCTGCAGCAAAATAACTGGGGGGTGACGAATAACTTGTGTATGTTGATACAGCAGGAGTAGGAGCCGTTTATTGTAGGACAGGAGCAGTATTTATACATTCCACACAGCTTATCTAATTAGCATAAACTAGATACATCAGTCAACCAATCAGGAATCTCTACACTTAATGGCTCGCTTTTGTTACTTCTCAAACCACTCCCTCTGGCATTTTGCCAGGCACCATCCAGACTTGTTTACGAACTTTAACATTCCCCTGACAAAATGCCAGGTGTTATTTTGACTTATTTACAGACTCTAACACACCACCACAAAATCTGGCAGTTTGTAAATTTCTATAAAGAAGTATTGTAGGAAAACAAAAGAAGTTAGGTGGGATTCTGATAGAGATTGCATTGAATCTGTAAACCAATAGAGAGAGTATTGCCATCTTAATATTGTCTCCTGCCCATGAACATGAGGTGTTTTCCCATTTATTTAGATCTTTTACAATTTCTTATGTGGGCGGGGGCAGGGGGAGGCAGAGAAAGAGAAAGACAGAAACAACTGATTGGGGTTTAAAACCAGGTACCTGCACAAAACAATTTTTTTGTAGTTTTCAGAGTATATATTTTACACTTTTTTGTTGCTGTTGTTGTAAAATTTATTCTTAACTTTATGATACTACCATAAGTGGAATCATTTTCATTATTTTTTTCAGGAGGGGGGGTACTCCATTTTTGAGAAACCAGCTTCTACCTCAAGACCTGTCCAGAGGGAGGGGGCGTGACCCTTGTCCTTGGAAAAACCCACAGAGCACTCCTAAGCACATACCCACCCTGCTGAGTTGTTTTAAATAACAGGAGAGATTTGTAGCACTAGGTGTTCCTGACTCACTTATGCTAGGTGAGCAACCCCCTAGCAACCACCAATCAGCATGACACAGGGAAAATATCTGAAATGCCAGGTGACCCTCCCAGTAGTTTCGGTGATTGATAACAGTTAGGAAACCAAGTAGCTTAGCACTTACACCCCTCGCAGCCTAAACCTATCAGTTCAAATTTATCCACCTCTTGAACTCACCAATCACCCTTACCCAACTTGTTCCCGTCCGACTAATGTGCTAATCAATGTTAAGAGCTGTTGTTTGAATTTCCCCAGGTGTGAAATGATTTGCTGTGTGATGTTGTGATGCATAGAGTATCCCCCCCAAACTTATAAATCCTCACTGAACTAAGGGCCAGGACTCACTCCTCGGGACCTCTGCCTCTGAAATGGTTGTGAGTCCAGGCTCGAGCTTGCATTGGATTCAGCTCCTGGAGGTCTATTGGGGTACCACAAATCTGGCATTACAAACCCAAGGCCACTTACCACTGAGATACACTGCAGCCCTTTTCATTTTGAGACAAGTTTTTACTAAGTTGCTTAGGGTCTACCTAAGTTGCTGAGGCTGACCTCAAACTTGTGATCCTTCTGCCTCATCCTTCAGAATCACTGGGATTATCGGTATATGCCACTGCACCAGCATGGAATGGTTTTCTTAATTTCATTTTTTGATCATTTATACAAGTGCATAAAAATATTAGATTTTTGTATACTGATCTCATATTCTGAAACTTTGCTGAAATTACTAGTTTTTCTTGCCTAATTACCTTGGTTAGAACTTTCAATACAGTATTTAGTAGCAGTGACTGGAGAAGATATTTTTGTCTTCTTCCTGATCTTGGGAAGAAAGAATCCCATCGTTCATGCTTAAGTGTATGGTAGCTGTGGGTTTCTGCGGATGCCATTTATTAGGTTGAAGAAGTTCTTATTGATCTTCTTTTCCTTATTTATTTATTACATCATTGGGGATTGAGACCCAGGCGGTGCATTTGCAGGGTGAACATTCTAGTACTAAGCTACATCCCCAGCCACTGTTGATAATTTTTATTGTGAAAGGGTACCAAATTTTTACATTAATCCTTAAAAAATGATCCTTCTCTATAGATGAAGGATGTAAACAGATCTCTTCATGGATGATATAGAAAAAGGTATCCCCAGGCTGGAGTTGTGGCTCAGTTGAAGAGTGTTCACCTAGCAAGCGTGAGGCACTGGGTTTCATCCTCAGCACCTCATAAAAATAAAGATATTGTGTCCACCTAAAACTAAAACATAAATATTAAAAAAAAAGAAAAAGAAAAGAAAAAGGTATCCCCATGTTCCAGGTGGATATTTTACAATAAAACAAACTACTGCAAGGATCTATTTTAAGTATTTGTATATATTAATCAATCCTCACAGCAACCCCAGGAGAAAGATACAATCATTTTGCGACTGAACCATTGAAACACACACTTATATGACTTGCCCAGTTTTACAAGTATATTAGTGGGAATTTGAGAAGATCTAAAATAAAATTGTAAATAAGCACAAACAACTTCTTAAAAATTATTTCCGAACTCCGTGTAGCTGTAAGAATTCCTGATTTAGATCAGGACTCCAGTTCAGGCTCCAATATTTACTGCTGTGTAAATACTTGGGGCTGGCCACTTTGAACCTCTTCCTCATGAGTTAGTGATACTTATAGAACTTTTCTAAAAATGTAGTGAAGCGATTATTGTAGAACCACACTGTTCGCTCTAAACGGTTACAAAAACGTTTTAAACGTTTCCTCCCGGGACCTTACTTTAGAAAGTTGGATCCAGAGTGCGTGAGGACCCAAAATGGGACCAACGCCAACCTTCCAGTCTACCTGGCTCTCTCTTCCCGGAAGCGGCTCAGGGCCCTATGGGACTTGTAGTCTTAGACTGACGCTGGCATGCCCTTCTCTTTTAGTAGCAGGAAGTGGACATAAGACCCGGAAGTGCTTTTCGCGCTGGGAAGCAGGGTCAAAGGTCGTGGGGACTGAAGGCGTTCTTGCCGCTGGTCCTGCAGCTATGTAGTGGAGGGACAAGTTCCCTTCCGTAAAGTCTGGAAGGTTCTTGGGCTCCTCTAGGGCGCTAGCCACAGGACTGCTAGTCGCCAGCTTCGGGTCCCTGCTGGCTGAGCGGAGCCGCCGCCATGTTTGGCTGCTTGGTGGCGGGGAGGCTGGTGAGGATGGGGCTGGGTGGTATCAGGAAGGGGTCTGGATGCAGAAAGCGAACCTGTCGGAGCAGGGTGGGACCTCGGTGCTGGAGACGTTGTGAAACCGCCTCTATAAAAATTTTGGCTGGATGTGTGGGTTGGGGATTGGGACGCTGGGGTGCTCTCTGTTCAGGTTTACTTGTACATTAGTCACAATATTAGCTGTCATTTATTGAGGGTGCAATTTGTACCAAGTATTGGGCCTAGTGCTATGCACCCTTTTTGTCAGTTTCTTTTTGCGTAACGTTTATTTGGTATTTCAGATTTAACCTTCATAATCCGTAAAATGGTCATTGCTCCCATTTTGCAGTTGAGAAACTTAAGCTCTGTTGGCAGTATAAATGCTTGCCTAAACTCATAAATTTGAGATTTTAATCCAGCTTCTCACCGGACTGTCAGAGATTAAGGCATTGTATAGCTGTTAGGTCTCTTTGGAAGGTCCCTAGTAAAAATGTGTTTATTGGAAATTGGCTGATAAAAACCCCTGAAATTTATGTGTGAGCCATATCTTAGATAATCAGAGAAAGATGCGAACAAAATGTTTCCTTTATTGGTCAGAAGAAACTGCTTTGCCAGATCATATAATTTAATGAGATCGGCGTCTAGAATTGTTTAAGAATAATTTGGAGAGTGAATTTTGTTTGCTTCTGTAGAAACCATCCATATATCCTTTTCAGACTGACACATTTTACTTAGAGTTCTTTTTCTTTTTTTCTTCCCCCCCCCCTTCCCTGCCTTGTTAAATATTGCAGCCCCTTTGATTTTTAAGTCAACTCTTGGTGTTACATTTGTATTCTATGCGTTATTCTAAGAAACTACGAAGACTACTGGCCTCAGAAAGTTTGTCCTTCCAATGACTTGGAGGTCCCTGTGGGATGGTGGTAGTTGGTCATCCTGGTGAAATAATTTTGGTTTTACCCTGCTCTTGATAGGGAAATTGGTTCAGTTTGGGAGGAGTGTGGCACTCAGATGAGTGAGTTTCATTAACGAATGGCATTTAAAATGTGTTTTTAAAGAATAAAAGAGCTATATGGAATCCCACTTATCATATTGTCAACTAATTTGGAAGGAAATTAATTATAGTAATATCTGTGTCTATTTACCCAATACCTAATCTCTATTGTGGATATTCAGTAGGGATTTCTTCACAACCACTGGGGGCTTTTTTGGGGGGTAGGGTGGGGAGGTGGATGGGTACTGGGGATTGAATCCAGGGGTGTTTTACCTCTGAGCTACATCCCCAGTCCTTTTTGATTTTTGTTTAGGGTCTTGCTAAGTTGCTGAGAACAAACTGGAATTTGCCATCCTCCTGCCTGATCTTCCAGGAGTTCCTGGGATGACAGGCATGCACCACCACTCCTGGTCAAGACAAGATTTTTTTTTTTGGTGGGAGAAGGGTGTTTGGGAGTGGGTGTTTGGCTTTTAAATTCTATATTATATTGAATGTAATTATATAATATATAATAGAATATATATGTAGACTATATATTCTAAATATATGTATTAAAATATATAAATAAAATGAAGGGCATACAGACCTTGCAACATCCCAAAACTTACCTATGTTATTCTATTACCAGAAAAAGGAAACCACTCATCTCAAGTTATGAACCTAATTTTCATTCCTTGAATGTTTTTTCTTGGAAGAGAGGTAACTTTTTTCTTTAAGTCAGTGATTTAGAGTAAGTGCAAATTTCTAGAATGTCTGGTGTCTTGTACAGGGTTGACACTTAAAAAGTATTTATTTTTCCTGATAGTTATTCAAGACTAAAACCACAGTTTTCCATGCTCCCTAATGTTATATGCATGCTATAAATCAGTGAAACTGAATTTAATACTCATGCTGGCAGTTTGGTTTATATTTTTGTTCTTCCTTTGTTTCTTTCTTTATGTTTAAAGTGGAGAATTTAAATTGAGTCAGAAAATTTCAGAAGAGTGAATCAGAATTTGAGTTTAAAAACACAGCTTTGCGGGGGAGGTGGGGGCTGGGGTTGTGGCTCAGTGGTAGAATGCTTTCCTCAGGTGTGAGGCACTGGGTTTTATCTTCATCACATAAAAAATAACAAATGAAATAAAGTCATTGTATCCATCTATAGCTAAAAAAAATATTTAAAGAAACACAGTTTTGACATCTTGGGAATTTAATTTTAGAGCAATTTATATTACTTTGTAACTAATAGATGGAATTATATAGCAATATATTTTTTATTCTTTTTTGTTATTAGATAGGATACTACAGAGGGGGAAATATTTTGGTAACAATTAGCAAATACTGTTAACAGAAAATAAATTGTATATAGTTAAATAATAATTGACCATTTAGTCTTCAGAGGTAATAGTAATAATTCAGATTTGGTGTTTTGGTATATAATAATTGTCAAGCAAAAACCAGACAAACTGTATTTAAATTCTTGACAGCCTGTCTATCTTGAGTGCTCTCAAAATTAATGTTTCTCTTTGCTAATGGATATAAAATAGCATTATCAGTACTTTTATTCTAAAAGTATAACTTTTTTTTTTCTCTGACAGTGCTGTATTTCACTGGATAATCATTGCAGATCTTATGCCAGTTTTTTTTTTTTTTTTTTCAAAATATAGGGTTGTGACCACTATGTGAAGCATTTTCCTTTTTAAATTTGTGCAGGTATTACTTAAAAATCATTTATTACTAAATTGTCTTTGGTGCAAGATTAGGATTCACTGATTTGTGAATATAAATGCAGTGGCAATGATTATGTAGTGAAATATGAATAGATTTCTCAAATTTTAATATATTAGTTTATAAATTAATGTTCAGTTCTAAAACAATTAGATTATGAATTGACTGAAGAGGGAATTTTTATAAGTTCCCACATACTGAATTTAAGGAAGAATTTTTATATTTTGTATACAAGTCTGCATGACCATTGAAATGAAAAAATACTGGACTATTGCTCCTAGTGGAACTATAGGGGTACATTCCTGAGAGCCTCTAGTTTCAGCCTTTGTTGTCAACTATCACAATTTTTTTTGTTTCTTTTTATAAACATCAAAAAGACATTTAATATGCATTGTTGATTCATTAATATTCAATTCGTGGTCTAACAGCATAACTCATGCCTGAACAAAACTTAATCTAACACATGGGTTTTCTCTGTAAGGTATTTCATGGTTCTGTTATAGTTAGAAACACTAACCAGCACTTTATAAATCTTGGCCATTTTAAATAGCAAAATCACTGACAAAAAGTACAAAAATGCAAACAAACATGGCACCAAATAGACTATGAAAAATATTTGTTTACAGTATACAGGCTGAAATGTGGTACTGCATAGCCTAGTTTTACCTCAGCTGGGAATATGTAAGTCAGGCAACTCAAATTTTTGTTTTACCGATGACAATGTCCATAAATGACTGCAGAAGTAATAGTAAGCATTGATTTTTGAGTTATATCTGAGTTTGCAAATACAGAATCTTCAAATAATTGCTACTTCTGGATTGCTTAACCACTTTAATGATTTGAAGTTCTATACTCTCAAGTTGGGTGATATGAGCTTGATAATGTTATTTGAAGAACCTTTCATTTTTACAACATTGTGAAGTTGTAGTTATTAAAATCCTTTCAGGGAACTTCTGAAAGAATATAGTTATATTTTGAAAAGATTACATATATATTAAGGCTAAATATGTATTTTTGGACTCTATTATATAATAAAGTTAACACTTTCTGGCATATTTGGTAGTTTCATAATTAAGAGTACCAGATTAGTCAGACACACTTCATATAATCATGATAATTGACTATGCTGATGTCATAATTTATAGCGATAGCATAAGTATCACAGAAACTCATCAAACATTGAACTAAGAGGAGTTTCTTATTTTCTAGGTACAGACAGCTGCACAGCAAGTGGCAGAGGATAAATTTGTTTTTGACTTACCTGATTATGAAAATATCAACCATGTTGTGGTTTTTATGCTCGGAACGATTCCATTTCCTGAGGGAATGGGAGGATCTGTCTACTTTTCCTATCCTGATTCAAATGGAATGCCAGTATGGCAACTCCTAGGATTTGTCACGAATGGTAAACCAAGTGCCATCTTCAAAATTTCAGGTCTTAAATCTGGTAAGAATAATATTAAAATAGTTCTGTAATTAAACTTAATTTCTTAACTATTCTAACATAAGATGATAGCTTTTTAAACTGTTACTTTTTTTTTATTTTTCTTTTGGTTGCTAGTAATATGTACCTTTTTTTTTTTTTTAAAGCAGATGATACAGAAACATTTGAAATAAGTAAAAACCTTTCTTGGTCCTTACTCCTATTCTCTGCCCCTTGAGAGAACTACTGAAAGTAACTCTCTCTGGATTTTTCTGTGTGGGTGTTTTATTAAGGAGAGGGGTCTTATGATTTGTAATAAACTAAGATTATAGGAAATAGAATGGGAGTGTCTCTTTTCTTCCATTAAGATTTTTGAACTCTTAGATTTGATTTCCAAATTGTTCTTATTTTGGTTCTTTTGATATTGCAAGGAAGTAATCCTCACTTTTACACTTCGAGGTATTTTGTGAAGAAATTTGAGACTGGAACTAGATTAGCTATCACTTCCATTGAATCTTGGGTTCCCTTAAGTCTGGATGAACATATTTGAAAACTCTTAAAATATAAGTATAAACTTTTGTACACAGTGTCAATGGAGTCCAAGGAAAAACTATATTTAGGGAACGTGTAGATAACATGTTTATGTATTTAACAAAAACCTTTGAGTATCTACTGTAGGAATTAAAATAAAGTGATTATGTTTTGCCTGAAATATATTCTTATAGAAGACATTTCTATAGTCCAGTAATTGGAAGAATGAAAACGTAATAGTGCTGAGGAAGAATAGAGAAGGAAGTGTGCAGTTAACTCAAATAGGTTTGGGCAGGTTTCTTGGAGGAAGTGATACTGGAGCTTTTAAACAAGTAGGAATTTTTCAGACCTGTGAGAGATTTATTGGGCATTGTTTTCTAGCTGTGGGTAATAATCAGCATAAGACAAAAGTTGGAAAGCACAGTGTGCTCAGAATGGTACCAGGTAGAGTCTGCCTGGGAAAAATTGGTATGAATTATGAAAAGTTGTGTGTTGCACAAACTGATTTGAAATTTCATGGGTCAGCAATTTTTTATATGCTTAGGTCACAGACCTGTTTGAATGCTATAATGTAAAAACTTGAAGTTACCAAAAAAAAAGACTCAAGAATAAATTGAAGTCCTGAAGAGATATAGTATCAATAAAGAAATTAAAATTGGTAGTTGAAATCTTTATATCTATGTAGAGAAAGTAGTTACAAAGTAAATTTAACTGAGAAGTTTAAAAAACTTCATTGTAGAAAATTCAAGCATATGCAGAATCAGATCAAACAGAATATTATATCCATCACTTGGCTTCAGAGATGACCAACTCATGGATAGTGTTATTTCATATTGTTTGGAAGCAGATTCTTAAATCACAGCATGCAACCTATAAATAAATTATGTGTATTTAAGAGATTAAAGTCTTAAAAAACTGTAATACATTGGTATTACAATTAATATTAAACAATAATTCTTTAATATCAAATTAAATATCCGTGATCAGTGTTCAGATTTCCAATGGTCTCAAAAGTTTTATGAGTATATAAAGTTTTAAAATAATTTCAATTAACATCCACGAAAGATCCTCATAGTTCATTTGATTGTTAAAAGTCTCAAAAATCTTTTATGAAAATTAAAGGTTTAATGTGTTCTTTTGTCTTTGTTTCCAGTAAACTAGCTGGATTTAGAGGTTTTACCATATTTCATTTGAATTGATTTTTAACGTTTTTTGACAGAATTATTATTGGTGGTTACATGTTCTTTCATCGCATGTGGTTAGCTCTCTTTGTGTGTGTGTAATTAGTAGACATTCATATACAGTATCTAAATTGACTAACTCAATAGAGTTAGTCAGAATGATGATTCTATCCCCTCCACCAAGGGGCACTTAATTGAGCCACATCACCAGCACCTTCCTCCTTTTTTTCCTTTTTAATTTGAGACAGGTTCTCCCTAAGTTGCTGAGGCTGGCTTTGAACTTGTGAGCCTCCTTGTGAGCCTTAGCCTCCTGAGTTTCTGGGTTTAAAGGAATGTGTCACCATGCCTGGATAGAATGATGATATTCTATTTTGCCATTTTGTTTATTAACTGTAAAGAGAAATGTGTTATGCTACTCTCTATCTACCTGAATTTCAGAGGTAGAATCCTTATAAGAAAAACAGAATAAATGCTTGATGTTTTTCTCTTTACATATGAATGGCCAAAAAATGAGTTGATTTTTTTTTTTTTTTTTTTTTATGGCATAAGGAATATTCTCTGGCATCTTCAAAGGTAATTAAGTTAGGCTGGGGATATAGCCCAGTTGGTAGAGTGCTTGCCTCACATGCACTAGGTCCTGGATTCAATCCCTAGCATCACAGGGGAAAAAAAAAAGTAATTAAGTTACTTTTAAAAGAATTGTGAAATCATGGATGTGTGTGTGCATTTGATTTATATCTGATATATTCTAAGCATTGATATAACATCAGAATTTATTAAACCATAAGTTTAAATTTCTCAGTTCTTTTTTTTTTTTTTTTTTTTTTTTGTATTGGAGGTTGAACCCAGGAGCACTTAACCACTGAGTCACATCTCCAGCCCTTTTTATTTTTTAAATTTTGAGACAGGGTCTCACTAAATTACTTAGGGTCTCGCTTATTTTTTTTTTTTTAGACTGGCTTTGAACTTGCTGTGCTCTTACGTCAGCCTCACAAATTGCTGGGATTATAGCCATGAGCCACCATTCCTGGCTTTAGTTTTCTTTTTCAGCAGAGACTAATATCTCATGGCTTTTAATCTTTCATAAGAGATCTTCCAAAGAACAAAGAAAGTTTGCCTTGTTAACAGATTTTAATAGGTTTATTGAGATTAGTTGATATACAATAAATTTCACATATTTAACGTATACAGTTTGATAACTTTTGACATATCATAACGCCTGTGAAACTATCATCACAGTCAAGATAATGAACTTATTACCTGCTGTAGGCAACTCCTGACCTATTTTCTGTCATTATAAAATAGTTTGTATTTTCTGTAGTTTTATATAAATGAAATTATACAGTATATACTTCTTTTTTACCTGACTTCTTTTATTCATTGTAATTATTTTCAGAGTGTCTTATGTTGCAAGGTGTATCAATAGCTCATTCTTCTTTATTGCTAGTAGTCTGCCATTGTATGTATATTGATACATTTGTTTATTCACTCACCTGTTAATAAGCATTTGGATTATTTCTAGATTTTGGCTTATAAAAATAAGCCACTTTGAATGTTTGTATATAGATCTTTGCATGGAAATATGCCCTTGGGTTACTGAACAGTGGCTAGATCATATAGTACTTGGATATTTTGCTTTTTAGGAAACTATCAAACTATTTTCCAGTATAATTGTTCTGTTTTATGTTTTACCTAGCAGTGTATAAAACTGCCTGTTCCTCTACATTGTTGTTACAGCTTAAGCTGTTCTAGTGTTATTTTACTGTAGTGGTGTCTGATTGTGGTTTTAATCTCTATTGATAGTGACTATTTTTATGTGTTCTTTTTGCTGTCTATATATCTTTCTTGATGAATGTCTGTTCAAATTTTTTACCTCTTTTTAAAAATTGGGTGTTTTTGAGTTTTGAGATTATGTATATATGTGTGTGTGTATATATATATATATATATATATATATATATAAAGTTCTTTTTTTAAAAATTTTTTTTAAAGAGAGAGAGGAGAGAGAGAGAGAGAGAGAACTTTAGTATTTATTTATTTATTTTTTTTAGTTATTGGCGGACACAACATCTTTGTTTGTATGTGGTGCTGAGGATCGAACCCGGGCCGCACGCATGCCAGGCGAGCGCACTACCGCTTGAGCCACATCCCCAGCCCTATATAAAGTTCTTGATATAAGTTCTTTATCAGATATGTGATTTTGAAAATATTTTTTTCCCAGTCATTGGTTGGTCTTTTCTCCTTATGGTGTCTTTTATAGAACAGAAATTTTTAAATTTTGAGATAGTCCAAGTTTTTAATATGTTATTTTCTGGATTGTGCTCTTGCTATTGTGACTTAGGAAATCTTTGAGGAAATTTTATTGTAGATTTTGCTTTTATATCTGGGATTCAGTTTGAATTGAATTTTATATTTAGTGCAAGATATCTATTGAAATTCTTTTTCTCCCCTTGCCAAATGTATATACAGTGAGTCTAGATTGTTTGTTTAAAAGAAAGTCATGAATAATTTTTTGTGCATTCATCATTGAAAATTTCATTTGATGCTCACTTGAGTGCTCCCAAACTTCTTTTTAAAAAAGTGACGTATAATATTTATGAATATTTATGTATTGATTTAAAAAGGAAAGAAATAAATAGAAATAGATACTTTTCTAATTTTTTTTTAATAATAAAATACCAGTTAGGAAATGGTAGAAATATTGCATGGATACTGGTATATATTATAGTAATAAGCAGTACAGAAGAAGGAGCAACTAATTAGGAAAGAGAGACTGTTTAGTTTGACAAGCCTTTGGGACCTGATTATAGTGCCTTAAATATAAAGTGATAGGTTTTGTTTATATAACAATTGAAAGTAGAGAATTTTAGTGGTTTATTTAATCATATGCATTGATTAAGTTGAATATTGGAATCTTAGTCACTGGCTAGTAGACCAGGGCATATGATTGTTTTTAGAGACATACTTACTAAGTTATTCATTTAACTGTCCAAACCTATTTTCTCTCCTCTTTCCCACAGCTTTGCCAACATTTTGAGTTTGGAAGGGGGCCACAACATTCCTTTTTCATTTGTGATCAACATTCCCTGCAGGAGATGCTTTTTCATGCCATTTTTTTGCATTGCCTTTGGCTGCCTTTCTCTTGTTTCCCTTAGGAGGTTGGAGAGGCACTCTAGGGTCATATGAATCCTAACATTTCCTTATTGTGTTATCTCATTCAATCTGGAGAAAATTTTGCAGTAAAAAATAAATTAATCCTGCCAGGCATGGTGGCACATGTCTGTAATCCCAGCAACTCAGGAAACTAAGGCA